CGGTGATCGTCGGAAGGTCTCCTCCTCCGGCGCCTTGGTCTCTCGATTCCTATCTTCGTGCGTTGAACGAGGTCAGATTGGTGAATATAGACGATTCGTGATCACCCGAATCATATATAAGCGAGCATACATAAGTGCACGATTCATATAGAAGACCGGTCCATGACAATGGTCTAGTTGCTTTCATTCATTCATTAAATAGTTCTTAGCTGAATAACACCCTTAAACTCGAAAAGCGAACTAGAAATTGAAAACTCAAAGATCCTAAACATCGAGCTAATAAAGAAAACGAACGAAAATGAAACAAATAAAAACCTAAGACAAATGAATTAGGAAAGGAGTGACTAGATCCAAAACAACAAATTCGATCCATTTTACTCTTCCTGATCTATATGCGAATCGGAAGCCAATACTCGACGCAATTGCCTATTCTCCTTAGCAACATGCTTTAGACTTCCTTTAGCTTTCTCCGCCCTCCTCTTGAGATAGTTGATTTCCGCTTGGCGAGTTGGCTTCTCTGTCACATCTGGGATCTTTGGGAGGAATTCGGTGGGGATATTATTCCGACGGATGTATCTGGTCGTGGCAAAGTATGTCTTTTCCTTCCCCTCGAGCTCATCTTCAGGCCAATTTAGCTTTTGAGCATGGCAGGCGGACCAGGCTTGTTCAACACGGCGAAGCTCTCCTTTGTAATCCTTTTCCTTTCTAACAAATCGAACTTGAAACGAATCCAACTTGAGAGGGGGCGATAGATCTTGGACAACCCGATATTGGCGGGCCACTAGGAGTGGGTAGTAGGAGGTGATGCCAGTAATTCCCAACAATGGGATTGGTTCATTATCGCCATGAGAGAGACATGCCTTGCGAAGTCGGAACCACTTAGCTTGCCATAGGAAAATCTTGATTTTCAGATTCTTCAACAAATTTACCCATCCCGAGAAAGAAAAGTTCGGCGTTTGATCTTGATGATTCTTAAATGTCTAAATAGGGTGATTAGTCTCACTAATGTCACTGATGTTCATGTGAATACCGAACCTACTTATATGGGAAAAGAACCAGATTTGTAAAAGTTTGACGGAAGCACGAAAAACCTTTTCTTCATTTTCTTTAAATCGGGTGAGCGACAAAAATATTTTAGCCAAAATAGTGTTGAGAAAGCTAACTCCTCCACATATTTGTCTGACCACCCACGCAATGGAAGGATCGATAGCATTCTTACGAAAGGGAAATAACATGAACCCAAAAAAAGCTAGAAGAAAGATTTTTCCTCTTAAAAGGGGCGCTGCATTTGCAAAACACTGACCTAAGAAGAGAGCGGGCATGCATGACAATTATCTTTTAGCACTATTCTTATTTGGTTCTTATTCATCCTAAGAAAGTCAAACAAAATCGCTTCTAGCTCTAACCCAAGGGGTGGATCGATTAACTCCAAATCCAAAGGTTTTCCTATGGCAACGCTATATTCTTCCAAAGTCGGAGTCAACTCATGCTTATCGAATATGAACGTGGATATTTGGGGACACTAGAAATGAGCTATTGCTTGCATGACTTCACTTTGGATGTTAATATCGAGGAGAGGCAAAAGGTGACCAAGTCTGTTCTCCACATAGGCTCGGCCCTCATGATCCAATTGATCCTACCAATACTTGAGTTCGGCCTTCGGAGTAGGAATGAATTGAATGTCGGATCTTCCCATTGCATATAGACCAAGACTCGACCAACCTAATTGTCACGGACCAGCCAAAGCATGAAGGTAAGTAAATTGCAAAATTAAAGTGTATAGAACTTACTTCACCAAACAATCATGACAACCACATAGACATGCTCATGAAACGTGTAGCTTGACTTCTACTCTAGATGGCTCAACAAATTGGAGCTACAAGTATGGGATGACTAGTCGCAGCCTCGCGTACTAAGCCAAGTCTTCGTGACTCCGATTCAGTCAAGAATGATACCTCGATGCGACGCGGCCTGGGGGGCAAAGGTAAGCATTCTCAATACCAAGAAAGAAGCTTTCGAGATTGAGTTGGGCGACGTCTACTACGCGGCCTCGCGGTCGAAGTCGTATCCAACTCAATACCATCCTAAACATTCCTAGTGCGGCCTAGGTTCGGCAGCATGGATGTGTGTGCAACAGTATAGTGCTAAAACATTTAAAGCATGCACAACGGTTTATAAGCAAATAATGCTTCAATCATCCGAAAAATAAACATTTATTCCCCAAATTCCAAACCTACAAAATAAGGGATCAATGGCAAGAAAATTCACGTTAGGGATGTATTTGAACAAGATAAACGGCCAAAATCCACTAAGAAGTCCCCAATGGAGTCGCCAAGCTGTCGCGACCTCCCTAAACCAGCCTCGCCGCCTAAGGGGTTTGGCTAATGGATTATTAAGTCTAAACCTAGCTTAGGCTATCCCAAGTCCATACTAACTCGCGACTTAGGGTTTAGGTTGTTAACGTGCAAATCAATTTCATCTAGGAGTCGTCAATAATCGGTTTGTGATGGGTCGATTAGACACCCAAGTAAAGCATGGGAGAAATGCTTCACTTCTACAAACCAGAGATTCAATGGGTAAGGGAACTTGGTTACACTAATAGAAAAACTAGTGCCATTTCGGTACCTAACCTTATTCAATTACCGCCTAACGTGTTCACATTAATTGGGAGTATCAAAATTCCATTTCTAACCAAGCTAAGGAAAGCAACAATCAACACCTGAACCTATCGTGCAAAATCGACAATATGCGAGTTTAAATTAAATGCGCAATTCAAAGTGTGTGAATCAAGCTAGGTGCAATCATACATGACACTAATCATACAAAATGGCAAGAAAAGCCAATTCCAAAGCCCAAATAATATCTTTTTGATTTTCAAATTTTTTTTTGATTTTTAAATATTAAAATAATAATATAATATTAAAAATAATGTAACAAACGGACCTAGGTTGGGACAAACCCGGGCGCGCCGGCCCGGGTCCACCATCGGACTAGGCTAATTTGTTGAGCCTAATCCGGTCGATTAAAACAAGAAAAAAGGGCCCAGTCCGAAATTTTTTTGTTTTAAAAAAAAACAAAAGCCCAACAAGAATTAAAACCCAAAAACCCTAAACATACCAGCCTAAACACTAAATAAAACCCTACCCGATTTCGACCCATTTCCCCTACCCGGTTCGCGGTCGCCAACCTGACTCGCGAAAAACCTACCCAACTTGCGACCCGCTCGCCCGAATGTCGATCGCCGCTCCTATTTGGAGCGGCCACTCCGTTCTCATGGCCAGGATCTTGTCTAGCCACCGCCCTGCTGGGCCTTGGCCTCCGCGGCCAGGGTTTCCGATCCGGTAGCCGAGCCCATGCTCGACCGCCACGGTCCGCGTCGCCACCTCGACGAGGATGGCGAGCGTCCTTCGTCCGGGTCACAGCCTTGCGACCGGCGACCGGCCGGGACCATCCGAGGCTCGGCGAAGGGCTGGCCAGTAGTGAACCAGCCTAGTCCCGGTGAGGGATTGACTGGCCTCCCCTTCTCGCGATCACGCCCGGACAACGGTCGAACCGCGAGCTTTCTCTGTCACCCGAGCCACCAGCCGACGACTGAGCTTCCACCCCATGCTTGGCGACACATCCGAGACACCACAAGTAAAGAGAGAGACGGCCAAGTCTCCGGAACGCATCATACACCAAGGAAAGGAAACCGGATCTCACTCATGCATAACATCAAACAGTTGGAGAGCGCAACGAAAAAGAGAGATTTTAGGTTCGATCAAGGCTCAAAATGGATCGAAATCGTTGACACTAGACGCACGGAGAGCAGGAGCAAGCACGAGGCGTCACGGGCCCAAACTCGCGCGAGCTTGGCGGCCGTGAGCTTCGGCTAGTGAACCCGAGAATAGAAGCAGAGACAGGGGAAGGGGGCTGCCGTTGCGGTACTCCCTATCTGGCTCAGCGGCTGCAAACGGGGGCAAGCGTGATAGATCGGACTATGTCCGGTCGCCTCGCACGCCTCCGAGCCTAAATCCTTAGGAAATTGACGCCGAAATCGCGCCAATGAAAACCTGACAAAAGCTCGGGACCGAGACCTACCGCGAGAAATAGGGCGTGTCGGAGCTTCGCCAGCCACTAATAAGGCGTGGCAGTCACCGATGGGAGGCCGTCCAACCTCGGATCTCACTCTTCGACGCTCTCGGACTCCTTCTCCGCCCCTCTTAAAGCTGGCCAGCGACGCGGAGCTGGCCAGGAGACGTGCATGGCCCCTGCCATCGCCAGTCCGCACTGCCGACCTGGCCCCGACCCGTGGATCATGCCGGGCGGTCCCCGGCTCCCTGCCACTGCCCTCTGGCTTCTGCGTTCTGTTCTATTCCCCCCGTATGCTTCAGAAGTGTTGACCACGCTAGGGGGAAGATGAATAGCATGTGGGCCGGGCCTGGGAGAAAAAGGCTGGCCTGCTCGAAAATGAAAAAAAAGGGGAGAAAAAAAAGATGGGCTGTGCGAAAATAAAAAGGGAAAGAAAAGGAACGGGCCGACTGGCTTGGCCCGGATTTTTTTTTTTTTTGAATATGTTCTACTAGGCCCTATTAATGCAAATGTGCTTAATGTCTATATGCCATGCAATTTAATGAAAATATTTTGGTTTAGGGGTAAAATTTAAATCCTAATTTTTTATGCGATAAAATTTTAAATGGACTTGGCAAAATTTAGGTGTCAACAACCGTTGGCTGTCTGAGCATTCTCTCCACTCTCGATGACATAATTGAATCGATTCCTTCATTATTGCATTTTGGCGTAAGTCGTATTCTGTTGTGAGTTTGCTTCTGGTGTTGAGATGGGCTTGTGATGTTGAATCAATATTTATCTTAGCGGATTTCGGCGAGACTCATCGTCAATGATCTGATTGTTACACAAACTGAAGCCCTTGTAATTCTTGAAATATCAATTTTTCAATAGGGATTTCTTCAAAGTCTATCCTTTTCGAAAACAAGATCGATTCTTTTGGGTGGGATAGAGATGCGATGATGAGGTGAAGGCACTCACAGAGGGTGTCGATGGGGGCAGTGAATCACACTCCGTGGGCCCATTTCTTTCAATAAACGACTTCTCCTTCCACTGAGCAAACATAATCCCTCGTCTCTTTTTTCCTTCTCGTTTGTGTTCAATTATTGGGTTTGAAAACTTAACAAAAAAAGAAGAAGAAGAAGAAGAGGAGATTTTGTGTTTGCAGTGCCACTTGATCCTGGAAACGCCTCATACATTCCCAATTTTGCCACTCTTTGTGGAATTCAAATTACAGATATTTGAATCTCATTGTCCTTTCTTCGACAAAAAAAAAGAGAAGAAAATCTTATTGTCCTTTCTCATGTTCTTGTTCCTGAAAGGCCGGGGACATTCTTGCTACTAGTGTATGTTGGAGTAGTTTGCTCACAAATCTTGTTTCGAGTGTCTATAATCTTGTTAAGAATTTTGCCCTGATTTGGGACAGAATGGTTCTACTAAACTGCCCCAAGGATGGTGACAAGCTACGTTTGCAAGCGGAAGTTCCCATTTGAGAGAAACAATAGTCGAAGCAATTTCAAAAATAGAAATTCGATGATCACTTGAGATGGCACAATCAAAGTCGCAAGCTTTTCTTTTTTTGCCTTAATGGTGAAATGTAATGTAAGGGCTCGAGAACACTTTAGCCGCCGAAGTGCTCTTCTACGCGTTACGACCGAGAGGAGGTTTCATGTGCAATTGTATCTGGGGACTAGGAAGCTGTAAATCTTGGACATTTTAGCCGCGTTTACGAGAGAACTAAAGGATACGTTTTGTTTCGCGAAAAATGAATAATTTGAAAAATATTTTTTAAAATCATTCATTTTTCATAAACTAAACAGAGCCTAAGACGCTGCAAATTATCATCTTGGCAAATTACCATGGCATATCGATTAGTTTTGAGCGGATGAAGGTAGATCACATTACAAGTTCAAAATAGGAATATCAGTCACATCAAGAATTACTACGAAACTAAATCAGATGGACATGGTCTCCGATGTTTATCAAACTTCGAAATTTAAATTTATCGAATATTGTATTTGACGTTAGGGGCGTTTTGATTCGCATTTCTTAAATAAGTCAACATTTGAAGTAGGCCGTTCTAAGTTGGAGCAAACCCAACAAGGAGTTGGTTTTCTTGGGAGATGCATTGTCGAACCAGATGTGTAGTCTAACAACCACTTTTCAGGCCTGCCCATCAATGAAAGAGTATGTACTTTTCTTCGTATATAGGTTTTAAGGATGAGCGACCCAAGAATGAAATTGCTTGCTTAGCTTTTGACCCGGTGAGCTTAAGAGATCCTAACAAGCTGACAAGCCACAATTGATCTACAAGTATTGATCCGCCATGCCGCATTATGCACCCACTACTAAGACACATCGTCCATTGAGCAAGTCTAGTCACTATCCCTTATCATGGCAATCCTCCTTTGAATACCACTTGCTCTAATTTGAAACTTCAACGAAAATTCTCCCACAATATTCTACCTTCCTAATCTTTCCCCGTCTCATTCAATCAATTCTGTAGCATCACAAGCATCAAATACAGAAATGCAACCTTCGACTTCTAGATGAGAAAACAAGTACGCAACCAACTTATAAGAATCTATTGACGCGTCTTGCTCAGGTGTGACATGTAACAATCTACTTGAGTACCAGAAGCTTTACAACTTGTTACTAAAATTACATTTGCCATTGATAAAAATCACTAAATAAGGTTGATTATACGCAATTTCCATTGTGCTGCATCCATGTAAATTATGTTGTCACATGTAAATCAGTTCCCAAAGGTTATCCAACAGATCTTCCATCCAAAGTAGATACCGGATAGGATGGCCACCCCAGGAAACGCGACACACAAAGCCGAGAGCATTCTGACGGTAGAAATGGCCGGCTCTTTCGAAGGACCTTCCACAAAATCCATTTCCTAACAAAAGCAACAACACAAGTTAACATAAACATCAAATGCAAAAAAAGAAAAGATCATGACACGATTTAGCATTTATAAACCATCAATTGTCAAAACTAACCGACAGATGCAAAGTGGATTGACTTCTCTCTGATGGTCCACAATACCACATGCAAGAAGCACTCGCAACATTTTCAATGAGATCGAACGCAATAAATCTTACCTTTAAAAGCAAAAGTGATGCAACAATTATCATTATCTTTTCCCAGGGTTGTATTACCCACGTCCTAAGGAGGGTAACCTGTGACTGTCATAGAGCAAAGTCATGCTAGAGAAGAGAGAAGCAATGGAATTTAAAGAGCACGTAAACCGATAAATAATGCTTAGTATATCTGAAGCATCTAAAAACTGCAATTCAAGAACGCGACTAAGGGTAATCCAGATAGAAGTCAAATATAGAAATCATCCATGAAGATCCACAATGTCCATAAAAGTCCATCAACTACTAGCAACAACATAAGTAAGTTGAATTGACTTTTGGATTCTAAGCCATCCTCTAGTGTAGGAAATCGACATGGTTGGCCGCCTTTTGAATGAAGTGGTCTCTGCTGCAAAAAAGGATATTGTGCTACATTTCCTTGGAAATAAATGCATGGAGAATGAAATACACCCCTAACTATAAGATAATAAGCACCTCTCGCATTGATTTCTAAGTATCAATCATTGAAGCTGATAAACTAGAAAGAATCATAGACGCTCTTTACAGCCATCACTTAGAAGAAAAGAACACCTTAGAGAAGGAAGGGAAAAGAAGGCAATTTGTAGTGGGCAATCACCCAATATATATAAAAAAATCACCCAGTATAACCTTGCTTCCATACTTCATTGCATCTTCATATGCTACACGAAACTCACATCCGAGATAGACCTCAAGCTTATTAGCAAGCTAATAAATAACAGAAGTGAGATCCAGAAGGATATATGTGAGTTAAATTGACTTTTGGATTCTTAGCCCTCCTCTAGTGTAGGCAATTGGCATGGTTGGCCTTTAGATAGAATGAAGTGGTTATGCTCTGCTGCTCAAAAGGATACAGTGCTACATTTCCTTGGAAATAAATGCATGGAGAATGAGTTACTCCCTAACTATCACATAATAGGCATCTCTCACATTGATTTATGAGTATCAATCGTTGTAGCCGATATACGCTCTCTACAGCCATCACTTAGAACAGCAACTGAACGCCTTAGAGAAGGAAGGGAAAAGAAGGCAATACTAGTTCTAGGCAACCACCCGGTATTACCTTGCCACCATACTTCATTGCTTCTTTAAATGCTACACGAGACTCCTGTCCGGGAGAGACCTCAAGCTTATTAACAACCTAATAAATAACAGAAGTAAAATCCAAAAGGATATATGTTGAGTCCAGTTAAAAGAGATGCAAAAGGATATAGCCACCACACTAATGCTGACATAAAAGTTGTTCTAAACCAGACACCACATAAAGGATAGCAAACAGGCTAATGCTGACATAAAAGTTTGTCTAAACCAGACACCTCATAAGTTATAGCAATCAAAACTTGAAACAAATTGCAAAAAAACATGCCTTGGCACATGACTGGTCGTAAAGGATACCTGTTGGATTGACCACTAGAAACCACCCATAGATGGAGATGAAATCAAATTGATCCTTTAGATTTGTATTTAATGATACTAACCAAGAGAGCATTTAATGTACACTGAAGACATTCACTTCCATGACAAAAAATTGCCACAAAATATATGTCAAAATACTCTTCTCCTCGAGTATAATGCTCGATATTCTGGTTCTTCTTCAGAAGGAAAACCAACAAGATGTTAATTAGAATAACAGGATTAAGCTAGAAAATCTATGGGAAAAAAAAGTAAGATATTGTGAAGGCAGTTCTAGTGTCAAAAACAAAACAAGTGTCACACAACCTATTAAAAGCTATCATCATCCACTAATTGGTCAATGCTTGTGAGTGTCACTAAACTTTTTGCTTGCGGAAGGAAAACTGACCCAATGAAGCCACCCATGCAGGTTTGTGAGAATAAATTTGTAAAGAAACAAGCCCAAAGACTACGATAAACATTCATATAAGACACCTTATAATCCCGCTTTAGCCTCAGTCGTTCAAGCAGATTACCAGGGTACTGGTCAGATGTCACCTGCACCCAAACAGGAACCCCAATCAAGGAACACAAGGTCGTTCTGACGCATAAAACAATGCACAATGCGAAACCCCGACAACATGATCCATCCTCAATTAGCACGAATAGAAAAAGACCTGTGGTTGCACGTAAGTCGTCACGGATTTTACTTCTATTTCTCTGCATGATTCCTGCAACCAAAGCCATATTATTACATTTACGGCACAAACATTAAATTTGCACAGATTATGGCCTGACAAATTAGGGTGGATGAATCCGATTCTCTTTCACTGCCACATTTTGTGGGCAACCAAACAGATCATCAAGCCCAAATGCAAGAACTCAATTTTCCAAGTCTCATTTCCATTTCCCTTCATTTTCCTCTCCCAAACCATCGTCAAAATTCATTCCAAATCCAAAATTTAGAACTCGAACCTTCACAACACTCACTTGAGACCTCTGTTTCGTCCGGAGCACGAACACGTCACACATGCCTCCATCGGTCACACACGTGACCACCACGCTCTTGGAGAGTTCCTCGGGTAGCGTCCTCCTACAACCGGACGTTAAAGTAACTAAAACTGCAAAATGAAAAATGGAAAGCAACATAGTCTGGACTCTGGTGTCATCCTCAACAGAGGACAGATCTATTCAACGAAACCTTGAAAAATAAAGAGAATACTCACTGATCTCGCTCATGAAGAAGTGTCTCCACTTCCTTGCTCATTTCTTGATAAAAACGGTCCACCTCGTCCTGAGACGTCTGCTAATGCAGAAAACACGTAATGACTTCTCTCTGATGGTCCATTATACCACATGCAAGAAGCACTCGCAATATTTTCAATGAGATCTAATGCAATAAATCTTACCACTTCATACACAAGTGTTGAAGCCTCCAGCTTTGTCCTTTCCCAGAGTGACATTCTTACCAAACAGATAGTTTCCTAGAGAAGAGAGAGGCAATGAAATTTAAAGAGCACGAACTAAAGTAAACAGATAAATAATGCTTTGTATAACTGGAGCATCTAAAAACTACAATTCAAGATCGCAACTAAGGGTAATCCAGATAGAAGTCAAATATGGCAATCATCTATGAAGATTCACAATGTCCATAAAAGTCGATCAACTACTAAAAATGCAACAAAATAAGTGAGTTGAATTGACTTTTGGATTCTTAGCTATCCTCTAGCTACATGATTGGCCATCAGAATGAAGTGGTCTCTGCTGCTCAAAAGGATATTGCTCTGCATTCCAAAAATATATGGAGAATGAATTACACCCCCAACCATTACATAATAAGCAATTGTTGAAGCCAGCATCGTCTCTCCAGCCATCACTTAGTACAGCAACAGAACACCTTAGAGAAAGAAGGGAAAAGAAGGCAAAACAGCAACAGAGCAACAGAACACTTAAAGAAGTGAAAAGAAAGCAATACTTTTGGTCGGTAATCATGCTCTTCTCCATCTGCTACACGAAACTCACGTCCGGGAGAGAGCTCAAGCTTACTAGCAAGCTAATTAATAACATAAGTGAGATCCGGAGGATATATATGAGTTAAATTGACTTTTGGATACTTAATCATCTAGCGTAGGAAATTGACATGGTTGACCAGTTGTCTCAACTGCTCAAAAAGGATGTTGTGTTGCATTTCCTTGAAATAAATGCATGGAGAATAACACCTGTTTATTAGATAATAAGATAACCAGAAAGTACTCTGTACAGCCATCACTTGCAACCGAACACCTTAGAGAAGAAGGGAAGAGAAGGCAATACTTGTTCTGGGCGATCACCCTCTATAACCTTGCCGCCATACTTCATTGCTTCTTTGTCTTCTACGTGAAACTCACATGCGGGAGAAACCTCAAGCTAATGAATAACAGAAGTGAGATCCAGAAGGATATATGTGAGTTAAATTGACTTTTGGATTCTTAGGCCTCCTCTAATGTAGGAAATCGATACGGTTAGTGGTTATGCTCTACTGCTCAAAAGGATATTGTGCTGCATTTCCTTGAAATAAATGCATGGAGAATGAATTACACCCTAACTATTACATAATAACATAATAAGCATCTCTCATATTGAAGCCAGTATCGTAGACGCTCTCATCACTTAGATGAGCAACAAAACACCTTAGATTGGGCGATCACCCGGTATAACCGCTCCTTCATATGCTAGGAGAAACTCACGTCCGGTATAGACCACAGAAGTGATGTCCAGAAGGATATATGTTGAGTCCAGTTAAAATAGATGCAAAACGATATAGCAAATAGATTAATGCTGACATAAAATTTGGTCTAAACCAGACACCTCATAAGTTATAGCCATCAAAACTGGAAACAGATTGCAGAAAAACATGCCTTGGGATTTGGGGCACGAGAGTAGTACGTCGCCCATCGAGCTTGTAGAGAGAGGAAATGTGGTGGCTTGGAGGGGAAAACGAAAGTGAGGCGTGGGTGGAAGGTTCTGGCAGTAGAGAAAGAGAGGGGGAGTGGAGTGGGGTGAGTGGGCGAGCCTGGCGATTGGCGAGGTGAAGGGGTGCGAATGGCCGTCAACTTCTGGATTTCTTGCTTCACTCTCCATCCATGGAAAGGTTTTCGCAACATTGCGATGATGAATTAGCAAAATGAGGACACGATGACTCAGGATCAAGAAGGAGGTAAGAGCAGATTCTTAGAGAGAGAGAGAGAGAGAGAGGTAGAAGAGAGAAGAGCTCCTAGAGATCAGCAGATTCTTATAAGATTTGTCGTGGAGCGCAAGTTAAGGAGGATTGATCTCGTGATTCAATTTGCGATTGCGTCACCGAATTTTTGGCAAATAAAAAGCAAGATATTCAAAAAGATACTCGTGTGGAAGATGGGGATTGTGTTTGTGCTAGCATATCTACAAGAGGGCGGGAGATATATGTTCTTCCAAAGGAAGACAGTCGGCGAGGGGCCAATATGAAAGGAAGAGAGATTTGCATCGAATTCTATCTATTATCGACGAATTCGAATCCTGAGCACGACTTTCTTTAAAAAAAAATTAAATAATTTGAGGGGTCATCCCCACTTTAATCATCCTTGAATTTTCTCGAGCCTAATTCCCTAACATTTAAATCCAATTGCCGATATTGTTCCGAACTTCTTTTTATCAAATAAAAAAAATCTCAACTTTAGGTTCAGTGTTACTTTTGCGGGAAAAGTGCCAAAAAAGTCATAAACCTTTTGCATTAGTGCCAATTTAGTCCTAAACCTTTTTTTGGTGCCAATTCAGTCCTAAACCTTTTGCATTGGTGCCAATTTAGTCCTAAACCTTTTTTTGGTGCCAATTCAGTCCTAAACTTTTTGTTTTTGTGCCAATTTAGTCCTTCCGGCCAATTTTGACCAGAATTTGCCGACGTGGTGCCAATGGAATTGGCATAAAAACAAAAGGTTTAGGACTGAATTAACACCAAAAAAAGGTTTAGGACTAAATTGGCACAAATGCAAAAGGTTTAGGACTGAATTGGCACCAAAAAAAGGTTTAGGACAAAATTGACACAAATGCAAAAGGTTTAGGACTGAATTGGCACCAAAAAAAGGTTTAGGACTAAATTGGCACTAATACAAAAGGTTTACGACTTTTTTGGCACTTTTCCCTTACTTTTGCCCATACCTTTTTTTGTCTTAAAAAAAATCTCAAAGTTTTGGTCCAATCTCAAGTTTGCCCCAAACTTTTTTTTTAATCTAAAAAAATCACCAAATTTAACTGTAGTCCCAAGTACGCTCCTGTTAGCTCCCGTCCAAAAATCATTGTTGATCGTTACTTCCGTGCAAACTTTTCACGCTTGCTATAAGATATTATGTTGCATTCATGGGAGACAAGAGTCGAAGGAGAAAGAAACCAAACCCTAATGAAGCAATCATGAAAGTGCATACTTAGTAGAGCAGCTGCTAAAGAAGGAGCATTGCGGATGTCATCTTCGACAAACTCTCTCACAATACTTACAACTTCTGGGCAGCTCGGAGAATAATAACCCATCTCAAGTTGAGCTTGAGTTGAGACAACAACAAACCCTAGAAAACCCAAAACAATCCCAATGTCCAAACCAGATATTCTTTCCATTTCGCTTCAATACAAATCCGTCTCCTTTAGCAAAACTCACTAGATTAAACGTGTTTCATTTTGATTTAACCCGAAAGTGCTTTGTTTTGGGCTCTAGGGGCGCGTTTGGTAACACTTCTGTTTCTCTATTTTTCTGTTCTTCTATTCCCTGGAACAAAAAAAGAACAGAAATCCGTTTGGTAACGCATTTTATTTTTTTATTTCCTGGAATAGAAAAGTGGCCAAAAAATAGATTTGGAGCAGAAATAAGAAGTAGAAAAAATCTACTTCTTTATTTCTATAAATAAAAATAGAAATAGAAAGGTTCAGTCCTCAAGCCGTAACCTCAGCTCCTCCTCCATCCTCCGTCGTCTGCAAACCGTCTCAAAGCACCGGTCCGGTCCATTCTCGGCAGAAATAATAAAAAATTTAAAAAATTATAAAAATTCCAAAAATTCATAAAAATCAGAAAAATTCTCAGAAAATCCATAAAAATCAGAAAAACTCAGAAAATCCATAAAAATTTGCAAAATTCCGAAATTGAAAAAATTTAAAAAAATTCATAAAAAGCTTTCTGGAAAATAAAAAGAGACAGATTTCGGGAAAGTAAAAAGTTTTAATAAAATTTTCCCCAAAAAAAATAAAAAATAAAAAATTCACATAATGGCTTAGAATAAATTAAAAAATTCCGAAAATTCATAAAAATTAGAAAAATTTCAGAAAAATCCCATAAAAAATTAGAAAATTAAAAATTCCCAAAATTCATATAAATCAGAAAAATTCTCAGAAAAACTCAGAAAACCCTTAAATATTTGCAAAATTCCGAAATTGAAAAAATTAAAAAAATTTCATAAAAAAATTTCGGAAAAATAAAAAGAAACAGATTTAGGGAAAGTAAAAAATTTTAATAAATTTTACCCCAAAAAAATATAAAAAAATTTACATAATGGCTTAGAATACCCGTGGCCACCCACTTTGAGTGAAATTTACATTTTTGAGGTGCCCAAGTGGTATTTTTGAAGATTCCTTAGTTTAGGGATTAAAAGGGGTTTTAAACCGCTAAAAACGATTAGACAAACCAATAAACCATGCTTATTGATTTTTTTCACTTATAACTTGTGCTTATAGTTAAATAAAAGATATAGATTTGAATGCACAAAATTGGGAATAGAAATTTTGTGCAGTTACCAAACGCATTTCTGTTCTTTTTCAATTATAGGAATATAAATTTTGTGCAGTTACCAAACGCATTATTTTGCTCATAAACTCTTCCAGGAAATAGAAATAGAAAAAACTATTTCTGAAAAGAAATTGTTCCCAGAAATAGAAACGTTACCAAACGCGCCCTAGGTGACTAAGTGAAGAAGAAGCCGCGCATGGTCGTAGATATTTGACTTCTATCTGGATTACCCTTAGTCGCGATCTTGAATTGCAGTTTTTAGATGCTCCAGATATACAAAGCATTATTTATCAGTTTACTTTAATTCGTGCTCTTTAAATTCCATTGCTTCTCTCTTCTTTAGCATTACTTTGCTCTATGACTGCCACAGGTTAACTTCCGAAAGACTTGGGCAAAAATGCCACTTTGGCCTAAGACAAAGTTTATTGTTGCATTACTTTTGTATGCAAAGGTAAGATTTATTGCGTTACATCTGATTAAAAATATTACAAGTGCTTTTTGCGTGTGGTATAGTGGACCCTTAGAGAGAAGTCATTCCACGTTGGTGATATTTTTGGTTTTCTGCATTAGCGGAAGCCTCGAAACTATGTGGACAGCATTGATAAAAAATGAGCAAAGTATTTCCCGCCCTAATGGAGACAATTGTGATTGAGCGAGATCAGTGGGTATTCTCTTAATGTTTCAGCATTTCGTGGAATAGATCTACCCTCCGTTGAAGATGACACCAGAGTCAAGACTGTGTTGCTTGCCATTTTTTCATATTGCAGTTTTAATTACTTTCACATTCAATTGCCCGTCTTACTGCCGCGTGGAAGCACAAGCTCTATTTTAACTTTAAGTAGATGCCAATGATTTGGATTTTAGAAGATTTTTATGACGTTGTTAGCTATTGTAACTTTAAATGATAGGCCACCCATTCTCGGCTCGATACTTAGCATCATGACCAGCCTTTACCAAAATACATCATCCTGCTTGCAACTGTTCATCTGGCTCAAGCTATCACGAACATGAGTTCTTCATACTTAGTTTCTCTCCCGAATCGTTGCATAAATTCTCAAAAATTTGCTCGAATATGTTTGAGAAAATCATCCGGCGATAATTGTGTCTCTCATAATGCATGTAATATATCGTTTTATTGATCTCTATGCCTTATTTGTCTGTTAGGTACATGGCATACAAACTGTTAAAAGTTGCCGGAAAACATAGTTCAGTCATCGCAGTTGTGGGCATGACCCATCTTAGTGGTATTAATAAGATTTGGAAGCAGCATGTTGCGGTTAGTTTTAATAATCAATAGTTTATACATGTTAATTCGTGTCAAGATCTTTTATTTATCTGAAATCCAAAGTTTAAGTCGACCTGTTTTATTGCTTTGTGTCCGGTAAAGGATCTTCTAGAAGTTCCACCGGAAAAGCTTGCCGTTTCTACCATCAGTCTTTCAGTGAAGTTGTTGCTGGAGGTGTAATCCTGCCTAGTATCTTCCATCCGAAGTAGATACCGGATAGGATTGCGTCTTCAACAACAGCGACGCCAAAAGACGAGTGTTTTGATGGACAGGTTTTTTTGGTGAAACTTCTAAAAGATCCTTTACCGGACACAAAACAACAAAACAAGTCAACTTAAACTTCGAATTTCAGACAAATAAAAGACCTTAACACAATTTAATATGTATAAACCATCAATTATAAAAACTAACCGCAATAGGCTGCTTCCAATGCTTCCTGATACCGCCAAGATGGCGCCGATGACTAAACTATATTCTATGGCAACTTTTAGCAATGTGTATGACATGTACTTGACAGACAAATAAGGCAAAGAGATCAACAGAACGATATATTATACATGCTCTATGAGAGACACAATTATGGTCGGACAATTTTCTCAATCATATTTGAGCAAATTCCAGAGAACACACACAATGTAAGCGACATTGGCAACGAGCTCTTTTGCAATTTTGCAAGCTTCATTGTCATATTCTCCACTCAAAATAATTTTATAATACTGAAGCTAATTAAGTAATTGTCTCTAATCACAACACTACTATTGCAACATCACGTAGCACCAGAGCAGCAGAGAAGCGTACAGATGTGTCAATACATAGCTCACTCATCATTCCAAGCTAATCAGCGTAATCTTTAGAAAAAAGATGGGTCAGAACAGAAAACTGTGAATTGACAATTTCTTTTCTGCGATAGGCAAGAGTAGATTAAAAACAAGAATCCAATTCTATGTGTTAAGTTCTGACTTTCAAATTGATGACAAGGGTATTTTGGATCAAGCATATTTATTTTAGGGGTTTTTTGAAGGGTGACTATAAAAGGGATGTCTTGCGCAATGCATCTCTAATTCTAGCCTCCACATTATCTATTTTCTTTGTTCTTTCTATCTTCTTGTTTGATCATTAGATCTTGTAGCTCACCAAGTGGTTTTTTAAGCCTTTCGATTGTAATTGTTGTTGAAGATAGTGAAACCCCTCTCTCTCCTCATGGTTTTTCCCGTTTTGGGTTTTCCACGCATATCTTGTGTCTCGTGCGGTTCGATTTTGCTTTCATCCTTGCTATTTG